GCAAATAAAACCTACTGGGAAGCTGCTGTTCCTTTTTTCAGTGAAATGTGACTCTCTTACCATGAGTTGTCAAAAGAGGAGAGGAAGACAGTTAGAATAACTGCTGAATAAATGAAAGATGCGTGTCACGTTCCTGTGTGCCTGTGGTCGCGGGAAAAGTGCCCTTTAATTGTGTGGGGAATCTCATAGCAGAGATTTTATAAATGGAGCAGGCTAATCAACAGATAAATGACCAAAGAAAGTACTTTCTTCTTTGCTTTTTAGGTCTGACAGAAACTAAACACCCACTCCTTTTCTGCTTTCACCTTCAAAAGTTTAAAACTAACATTGGGCCTTAGGCAAAGGGAGTGATTTTTGGCCATTGAGCTGGTAGGTTAGCAGGTAGTTACTCAACAAACATGTTATCCCCAAATCATTTTATTATCAGACATTAGAAAGATCAACAATACTAAATTCTGGTGATGTTAACTCTAAAGTTGATTTGAAGCTAGATCAATATTGAATCACATCTTCCCTGTGGGGGTACTGTAAAAATCTTGGAATGGGACTGGTCGTTAGTAGAACAGCTTGTATTTTTCTATTGCTGTACTAGTAAATTTGGTTATTCTATAAAATCATTCATTATTTTAATGCTAGCTCTGTAATTATTTCAGTACACAGTTAACTATGATCAATGCCTTTCTGGGTGCTTTGTTTTTTAGAAGGGGGGAAGAAGAGGCTGAAGAACATTACTCAAACTGAATCTGTCAGCTGTATTTGTTTTAAGTTGCACCCTAGTGATTTGAGTAGGATGGTAAACATGAATGTGGATTGTGGATCTGGGCCATGAATTCTTAACATTTTTAACTAACCTAGATTGGCTTTTTTCTTAACTGCCATATTGCAGTAGCTCTCATTTATGTTGTCTTACTAGCCTCTTAGAAATTTGGTAAAAGAGCATGTCTTCACCTGTTAATTTCCATTGCACTCAGCAAACTTTTGCTGTCCGGTATTGTGCTGGGCTGAACCTGTCAGTCTTTGTTTTCCTGTCTGCGTATTTGTTTCACAGATGATGTCAGATGAGCTTTGGAAATACTGCTCGTGGGTTGTTGGTGTCAAAAAGCCAGGAGTGAACAAAAAATTGTTGGCACCATTAAGATTACTTGTATTGTTGGCTTGCCAAAGCTACAGATGCTGCAAATCAAACTAAAATCTGATAGTCTAGAAAACCTGATACCTGGTTCTTCTTCTACCCAGTATTTCTTTTTAAAAGTTATGCTTACAAAGTTACAATGTTGATGACATAAAGGTAGGGTGGAAGACATGTCTGTCCCTGTTTTTCCACACTTGTTCTTCAGTCAGCAGTTGAAGGAAATAGAATTTTTTCCTTTTAGCCTTTAGCCTTTTCCCTGCTAGGGGAGTTCTCTTTCATTCTCCTCCCTGCTTTCTCCCTGCATAACCCAATTTGTTTCTGGAAATTACTCCTTCATCCTCAGTTGCACATTATTCTGCCACTGTTTGGCACTGAGTCGAGGCTCTTCCTGTTATGATTTCATTTCCATTTTAAGGCAACACTGCAGTAGTGTTTTGCTGTTGGAGGAGGGCTTGCTGCGATTTCCATGTGAGCCTGCTCATTCATTTGGTCAAGTAAACTTGCCGACAAATGGTACAGTGTGTTGTTTCTTCGGGAAGTACTGCATAGCAAGAACAGTGTAGGTACAGTATTCATAATTGCTTCTGGAGGTTAGAGGAAAAAGTGGTGCCTGTTGTTTTTCCCTTCCAATCTCTATAGTGTTCTTGAATTTTAATAGATTTGTCTGTAGTTCTGTTCTTAGGTAGAGCGCATCATCTGCGGCCCAGGAGGAGCAGGAGTGAATGCCTACTTTATACGTTTGCTGCTGTTTCCCCAGGGATGCTGAGGAAGTCCTATTGTTATAAACACTAGCAAGAGTACAGCCTGTATAAGTTTGTCCCAGCGAGAAATTCGGTGGTACTTTGCCACTGCCGTACAAGCCCCACTGGGCATTACTTCAAGGCTGGAATCCTTAGATGATTGCCAGTGCCACCCTCTGTTTGGCATTTGCATGCAACAGGCTGCAAAGTAAAGCATTATAACTTCATTTTGTATCAGAAATACTGCCAAAAATATGATACTGATTTGAGGTGTTTTAAAAGTCAGGAGCTAGCGTGGAAATGAGGAAGTGGGGGGAAAAAAAAAGTGATTTGGGGGGTGATAGAGAAGGCAATGTGAAAAGAAAAGGGCAAGAAAAACAGTTTAAATGATAACAAGCCTTTGATTTTACAGTGTTTTTAGTCTCAACAAATTATTGTTATTAATTTACATTTCCAAACTAGTTGTTATGATTTGACTGCCATGTGTACTGGGTTTTCTGTGATTTCCTTCATAGTAACCCTTTAACACTGTAATGTGTTAAAGTTAATCGCTGTAATGTGATAGGTAGTCATGATTCACTAACTGGTATATAGGTACAGGGATAATTACTTATTTACAATCACTGCACTGTGAATCTGTAAGTATGTTGGCTATAATTAATCCCATACTGACTAACAGGCAAGCTATTTGCCAGCTTCAGAGGATCATGCACAACTCCATTCCTCCTAACTTTGAGTTGCCAGTCATTATCTGTTTCTATTTATTTGAGGTATTTTTCATGTTGTCTCCTAACAATCCTTTCATTCCTTTTAGTCGAGTTTTCCTTCATTTGAAATCACTGTAAGAAAAAGTTGGCCTCGTCTGTGACTTCCTGCACAGCACAGTACAAATTCCATTCTATTTCCTATTTATGGGTCTGGTCTTTCTTTGCCTACATGGAGGAATAAACTTCTTCTTGTAAACAGGCATGTTTTAAGAGGAAAGAGCCTTGCTAAGCTGATGGGAAGAAAGAGCAGGGGGAAATGGAAATTAAATAGGTGAGAAAAGGTGGTATTAATTCCTTAAGAATCAACGAGGTCCAAAGTTGAGGAGTTTATTATTAATATATCTTGATAACTAACTTGTAAGCAGGAAGCTTCTGCAGTATATGGGGAGAGTCTGGTGTTCTCAGAAGAACAAACATAGCGGTCAATCAGTGTCAAAAGCCAATGTGCAAGGATTCATCATTTTAAAATACATTTCATTGTTTCAGAATTCTTTAGCAAATTTGAAAGGATAACCCACTTTTATACTAAGTTTTGGGCATTTTATGTCACTTTCTCTGTGGCTTCTTGTCCTAGATTTGCTAGCTTCCAGCTGAATGATGAATTAATGGTGAGTCCACTGCACAAAAAGTAGCCTCTACAGATGTGTCTAAAGAGTAGGTTATATTTCACCTTGATCTTATTATGGACTTTTTTTTTTCCTTCTTTATAATACAGACACAGCTCACATATTTTATAAGACCTTTATCTGTATCTCAGGACACTGTTCCTTATTGGTAGAACGCCTTGCAGACCTAAAAGACCAAACTGAGAGAGGAAGATGGAAGGCAATACAAAGTAGCATTTTTTAAATACAGTTGACAGCATACCAGTAGTCTAAACACTGTTCAGTTGTTGTCACAACAGATTTAAAGAAAGGCTGGAAGAAAAATAGTGAAGTTGCTGCAGATATTTGAAGATAGTTCTTCCAATTGCTTTTGCTTGGGAAGAAGAAAAAGTTAAAACTTGTTTGAAAAGTTGAAAAAGGTGCATTGTTTGGAAACAGGGAAAACTGGAATCCTTGTCGTGATGCTGAATAGTGGTGCTCTGAGGAGGTTGTGTTGTAAAGTGCCTTGAAAGTGAGGTCAAGTTAGCATAATTGATATGAGAGACAGTTGGAAGAAATGATTTATAAAATGGTAAAATTTGGGGTCTATGAAAAGGACTTTGCTGCTGTGCTCTGTGAGCAGAACATGATTGCCATTTTCAAGGCAAAAGGAAGTGCTGTAATGACTAAGACATGAGCTGTGAGCTTGGACAAGTGCAATGGAAAGGTGTATTTCAGAAAGAACGTATGCAGTCAGCATGACTGGAGGTAAGTAGTTGGAAGAAACTAGAGAGATCTAGATCAGATGAGATGCTGGGCTAGAGAAGAACAGTGGTGATGGCCCGCAGTAATCATGAAAGAGATTTTAGACATTTTGAGGAAGATCTTTAAGAGCCCTGTTTGTTGTCAACAGACAGCTGGGATTTCACAGCAAGGTATTGTGCAGCTTCAAATTTGGACAGACAAATTTCTCATTTCATCATGTGCTATGCTCTGTTTAGAACTTACAGTTGTTTTCCACAAAAATGTCTCATGAATAGGACTAAGATTGAAAGTTGTAACCAAGTTTCTTGTATGAAATATGTTGCTTTAAAAATACCATTACACCAAAGATCTCTCAGCCAAAAGCAAGGCAAACTGCAATTGGGAATAGAAAGGTATCAACCCTATTGGCCTGTTTCCTCAGCAAGAGAATGGCTTTTCTGAAATCAGACAGGAAACAAATACTACTTAAATTTTCTCTGAAGCATTTTGAAGCTTAGTTTTTACAGACAACTTTTATGTATCAGATTTCAATAATATTCCTATTCACATTCAGTGGAATTGCAGTACTGAGGTATTCTTGGATCAAATACTTGTATATATACTGAACAGAAAAGAGGCATTCACTCCAGAATACACTTTGTGTTTCTAAATAATCCCTTCTGAAGATTAAAAGTATGCCAAATCTGCAAACAAAACTGAGAAACTAGAAGATTATGTTCATTGTTCTGTTATCTCAGCTCTCAATGTCATTTTATGAGTACATAAGAACATGTTGTTTGAAATGGATTTTTGCTATTTCAGGTATGTAATTATGGGGGTGCCCTTGAATTATTTCTTGCCAGCTAAAAAACCCTCCAACCTTTAAAAAATAATCTTTTGCCAGCTATGTGGCAGAAGGTAGAAAATAATAAATTAAAACTTGAAGGTTAGTACAGTTCATTCTGTAAAGCAAGTTACTAAAATATTTTTTGTAACACTTAAATCTAAAAGCAAACCTTTGTTTTTCTTTCAGATGAATGTCTGTAGGTTACGCTTAACAGTACCACCTGATGAAGGCTCACAGCCTGAACAGGGAGCAAAGGAACCTGAAAGAAAAAAAAATGTAAGTTTTAAGAATCAAAGTTAAATTCTATATAAACAAGGAGTAAATATTGCTATCCGCAGAAGCTATCCACAAAACTGCATGTAAAATAGGACAGGAGTAGAGGAACAGCACAGAGGTCGTAGGTGATTTGTGACTGAGGTACCTTTAAGACTTGTTATTTAATATTTATATATTAAAGAGTAGGAAACTGCTATCAAGAGCAGGGTCTTGCATTAAACAGGATCTTGATCCTCACCTGAAGGGGATTTTTGTAGGCTTAACAGTGTACAAGATTTGAGCCTTAATGTGTATGGGAGCTGGCTTGCCTGGGACTTAGATGTTTTGCTGTGTGGCTAATTTTGGTAATGGGTGATGTACTAGTAAGAAATACAAAATAAAGAATTCAAGATTGTTCTGAAGTGAAAGTGATTTGAAGGTCATATGCTTAGAAGGGTTCAGAAATGCAATTTTTTTGTAGAAGCAAGTAGCGTGCACACTAAAAAAATCTTACAGCTGCTTTGGTGCAGAACTTGTTCTTTAAGAGCTGTTTCAGAGCAATAGATGATGATTAATTTGTCTTAAGGATGGAGACTAAAAAGGCAAGCTGGACAGGCTCCACAACTTCACCGTATTTACACTTTGATAAACCAAAATCAAACAAGAAGTTGGCTAAGTTTACCAGACGCAATGTCTGAATACCAATATGACAATAGGAAGCAAAACGACAATAGGATTTATTTGAAATAATTTCTTAGTGGTACTCAGAAGCAAAAGTAACTGTAAAATGACTCGGAAGGACAAACATTTTAAAGCAATAAAAATAAATGCAAAGTAAAATGGTCAAGATAAAGATTCCTTATCAGATATTTCTCGTGCTGGAATCTTGTATACACTCAGCTTTTCATACACTGCTTTGGCAGAGTAATAGGTCCTTAAGGATCTATAAATGTTACTTACAGAATGGATTGAAGAAGCCTTAACGCAAACTAAATTTGGGCCACCATTAAATAGTAATAATTCATTTTGTACAGAGGTGTTCAGTTTTAGCACTTAGAGTGCCATACCACTTACTCTGTCAGTCTCTGTCAGTTTGTATCTGATTGCAGAAACCCTCAGACTGGCCTAAGCATATGGGCCCATTGCCCTAAGAGTAATGCAAGTTTGTTTTTGAGGAGGATAGATATTGACTCATGGCTTACTCACTTTACTGTGCTGAGTAGTGTAGTAATAAGAAGGAAGTGTGAATGCTTAGGGCTTGGACAATTTGTGGTGACTTTCTTATGTGACCAATTTTTTTCTCTGTGGGACCTTGTATTTAATGAGAGCTCTATTGCCCCCATAATACAAGTAAAGGCAAGGGAGTTTTGTATCAGAGAATGTTAAGGAGAGGATATGAAAGGTAATAAATACATTATTGGGCTCATCTTACATTCCAGTATATTGCACAGTGATTTTTAAGAGATGAGTCCTTTTTAGTTGAGACCAAAAAAATGGTATGTAATTTAATTATGTTCTGAGTAGTTTTCTAAAGTTCAGTACTTCTACACAATTTAAAGACTCTTAGAAAGCATATATAGAGCCTTCAGAGCTAGATGGGATCTAGTTAGTCAATTTCGTAGCAATTAAAAAACACAGAGTAATTGTGCCATCTACTTGTGTTTTATGGTCTTTGTGTAATTAAAAAAATAGCCCTACAGATTGTATAGTCGTAGTGTATAGAAGCAGCTACAAAAAAATCACTGATCATGAGCTGTTTCTTCCTCATGTCTCTAAAACAAGACAGTAATGTATTACCTGTAGATTTTTATTGTCTATGTAATGTATTGCTTTATGTATTTGAATTAGTTGCACAGTAACTTAGAGTGCACACAGGACTCTTGACTAGTCATGCTGTGATACTTTTCTCTTACTGCAAAATTTAATTTAAAAAAAAAAAAAGCATCTCCTAAAAGCAGTGATCAGGTATCTCTGCTGATCCACCTATATTCAATGTTAATGAAATTGCTTAAAGCACTTTGAGAATAACAGATTTTACAAATGTTAGATAATCCTCACACAGTCCTATGAGAACTGTGCCCCTTTCTTGGAAATAGGGATAATAGACAGAAATTAGGGAACTGCTCAGTTTTCTGCCTTGCACTTTACAATTTAAAGTAAAAAAATACAGCTTCATCAAGAATCAGGTTTAACAGCAGGTCTCTTGTTGGAATCTAGAGTTCTGTGCTGTCTTTAAATGCTGAGTATTAAGAAAATGGGAACATGGAAAATGTTTTTGGTGTTTAAAATATTTTTGTGTGACTTTCGGAAATGAACTGCAGGAGTAATCTTTGGGATTGTATAGTTTTTACTGGAGCATGCAGGCAGATCAGGCAGCCTCAGCCTGGCTGCCAGACGCTCTCCTGTTGGGCAGGACAAGTCCTGCAGAGAGACAGACTCTGCCCTGCCTCTGCCTGCTGCTGGTGAAGGAGGAAAGCAGAGACCTTGCTGTGTCAAAGGGAATGCCAGAAAACTATAAATACACCATGGCATGACATTTGGTTGTAATCTCCTCTTTCAAATCTTTCATTAGAAGGAGGTGATTTTGAGCTGCCCTCATGTGACATAGTGATGGCTTACTGACTATTTGTTACTTTTCTGTATCTTTCTGGGGCTCAGTACCGTTAAGAGGTGTTTCAGTTGCAAAATCAGCTAGCGAACTGCACAGAAGCTCTTCCTAGCGCTGATCCTCCCAATAACTTGTTTTGGAGCTTGATGTCAGATCAGAACTGAATCTTTAGTGGTTATGTTAGTAGCTGTTAGCTTAGCCTTTTTCATTGTAGTCCAAGTTTAGCAGAAAATGTATGCTGTATTTCATTAAATCTGTATCAGTGCATTAAGTTTCTAGATTGACTTTTTTATTGCTATACATCCATGAAATAAAAGTGAACCAGTACAAGAGATTAAATCAAAGTGATGGAGCTGGGCAGTTTTGTTGCAACAAAATTGCTGCAGGCATTACTGTACTAGGATGGCCTCTCCCTGTCTTTTGTGAAAGGCTGGCAGATGGTACACAGTTAGAATTTGATCTCAAAAACTGAAGGGGGAGTGAGATTGTGCTCCAGTGTGTCAGGTTAGTTTTTTATATTCATATTTAGGCTATGATACCTTAAAAGAAGCATATGATAACTGAAGTCACAAGTAGAGGCTGATTGGTTTGTTTGTTTGCTTTTTACAGGCTAAAATCTTACTGCTAAATATCTCTGAATTGTTAGCACTTTAGGTAGAGAGAATCTGAAACTATCCTGATTTTGTTCCATTACTTCTGTTAATGATAGACAATGGATGACAGTAGTGTGAGGCTGTTTACTTCACCATGAAGTACAAAGGAATATTGTGGTCGTCAGATTGTATGGAAAATCTGCATGTCCTGAAGCCTGCCTTGTCTTGCATAATAAAGGGCTACCAGACAATTGTATTGTCCCTGTTTGGAATTGGGCTTATTTTTATCCATTAGTCCCTTTCTTCACTGTCATGGCTAAATTTGGAAGTGTCATTGGAAGCTGCAGCTAAGCATTTGAGGGCGTAATATGGAGATATGTATGCACAGATTTTTCTTTTTCATTTGGACACATGGACAAGAGAATGAAAATGAGATAACACTCTAGAAATTTGTGTCACTTTCCTGTCTTTGTGGCTTTCAACAGAGTTTGAGCAGTGCTTAGTCTTAAACTCTAATTGGTACTTTGGCTGTGTATATCCTCAAACTCTTTAATTTTCTTATGTTTTTAAAGCATCACAACCAAGAGGTGAAATGCTTTTTGCTTTGTAAGCAGGAATACAGAAGCATAGCAAACATTTTTTTTTTTCCCGAGCAAAAAAGTAGGCTGTAAAGAAGCCAGAAAGGGAATTTGCTTCTATATGTGATGGACAGAATCAAGCAGAAACTTGTGTCAGGCCTGGATCAAAGAATATGAGTGCAATGAACATAGGGCTGTTGTGCGCATTGAATCTAGGACAGTGCCTATTTTCTCTGCTGATCTGCTGCTGCCAGCCCACTCCCATCAGCATAGCAGAAGTTGTGTCATAACAAATGTGGTTCACCTGCTACAGGTGGCTGATGGTACTGTTTCTCAGCCTCTCCAGCACTGATTGCTTGAGTTTTTGATGTGTACTGATTAAGCGACACCTTCATTAAAAACAGCACTACATGAAAACCACAGAAAGAATTCCACTGACTTCTGTGGTTACTGCTGTATTTGTTGTATCTTATTTTCTTAGTGTATAAACATTGGTGTTTTGTGTACGGCTTTCATTGATTAGATATGACTTTGGATAATGCCTGTCACTTCTGTTTTTTGAGATAGGCACCTAAATTCTACGTTTCAAGGAGCTTAAGAGTTGGAATGTGTTAAACAATGCTTCTTATTTAGCGTCATGAATTTAAGAACACTCATGTTCTATGTCTTGGCTTATTTTCCCTATTTTAATGCTATTTATATATGAAACATCCCTAAATGTAACATGAGTTTCATGGGCTGTAGGGGATTATGAAAAAAACATAAAAACATAGCTACCTTTTGTCACAGCACAGTAATTTTCCTTGGTGAGTTCAGTATTATAAATTTGTCATTTTACTGAACAGAAAATATGTAACCTAAGTAACAATGTGAATGTTCATGTTCCTTTTATAACTAGTGAACAAGCAAAAAATAACCGGATATTTCAGAAACCTCTGGAATGTGGCAGTTGAGGAAAATATAGAGCCTTGCTTAACTGATGTAGTTCTGATTAAAAGAAGAGGTTTTTAGATGGTGTAGGTAAACAGAAAATCATGATTTAGCAAAATTTTAAGGCCATATGAGTACTAAACCCAGAATTGTGCTAATCATTACATTAGATGTCCTTTTTCCTCAAAATAAGATGCCTCTTCTGTGCTTCTGCTTCCAATTTTGGGGCAGGGAGAAAGTACAAAGTATGGGGGTATCTGACCTTCATTTCAAAAACTGATGGAGATAGATTAGGAGGCAAATCATCCCTCAGTGTTATTTACATAATGCCAATAAAACCAACAGCAATACAAAAAGCAGCTAACAACTCATATTTAGGGTTTGTTTTTATAGTGTCTTTGCTTCACCTGTTCCATGCTACTTGTGCTACTTCCTTGAACAGAGACATAAACAGGATGCATGGCAATTATCAAAACTTTTGCAACCTTGGGGTGTAGGCTTCTGTTTTAAATATTTATTAATTGAGTAAACACAGTCTGCGTTTCTTTAGTACATGCTGTGTGATCACACCAAGTGCAACATGACTGTTGCTGCAACATGGACAAAGCATGTTCCTGGAAGCTGCCATAGTATTCATGTGCATCAATATGATGTGTTCTTGCTGTTACTTTGGACTGTCATATAACTGACTATAGGTACAAAGAAATATGCACAAATTGCTTAAACTAAGTCTGCCTTTCAGATCAGCAGCTCACATTAGAAGGGATTTTGAGCACAATTTGGGGCAACAACTGCACTTGTTCCAGTGCAGCAAGCGCATAGGCAGGTGGGGCATGAGAACTTCCCTGTACTCTGGAGCTGGCTGATATTTTGACCTTAAACAGCAATGGTTAACTAATTTAATGAAACCGTCCATCTTCAAGCACTTTCCTGGTTAGCTTTACAGTATTTAATTGCTCCTAAATACTTGCATGTACTTACTTATTCTGTTATCATCACCGAGATGCCTCACTGCAGATCAGAGTGGAGACAGGCGAGGACCTTCTCAGAAAAATATCTGAGTTCTGAGAGTGGATATGTATGGGACATAGAGGAAAACAATGAAAAGTATTTCACTTAAAAAAACATTCTGTAGTCCTTGGGATGTGGAAAATCCATGATTTGTGGAAGAGGAAACATGGGAGAGAGAGGATGTGACAGGGGAAGAACAGAAGACAAGGCAGAAAAGGAAAAAACACTGAAGGGAGAAAAATAAACAAAGGTGGGTGGAAGTAGCTTAAGAGAGGAGACAAACTGGCAGAAAGTATACTCAATGCATACTTAGTGATGCACTTCTGTGGAGCAGTTTGAGGACTGAGCCATTCAGCCAGGCCTCCTTTAGAGGCAAAGGTATATTAAAAAAATAGTCAACAAGCAAAGCAACTCATCTACCTCTCAACCCTGCATTTCTGATTGTAACCCTTCCTCTAAGAGGAAAGTGCATCAGGTTAGCCCTTTTTTGCCAGGGCATATGCTGAACCCTGAAACAAGTGGTCATTGAGTGGAAATTAAGAGTTACCAACCAGAGAAAAGGGGGAGTAGAAGGTAAGCATAGCTGGAATAGAACAGCAAGGAGAAAAAACTAAAGAAATATGAGAGCAGTTATTTGTATAGCTGTTGGTTCACACAGCAAGAACTGTAGTGAAATTTTAACAGGTGCTTGCTTGGGGATTGTGATATGAAGGAGGAATAAGGAGGGGGTAAAAGCAATATCCTGTATTTTAAGTAGCACGTAGTAGAACTGGAACACTCAATGATGGAGATGATGGAGAGTCTTTTAATCTTCTGAAAGAGAAGTTACAAAGGCATCTTGGGAGCCATGGGCAAATATAGACAACAGGCAAGTTTAGCATTGTTGCAAGAGACATGTAACCAGTCTGGCTTTGTGCATACTAAATCCTGCATGTACTGCACATTATGATGTAAATTTAAGTCTGTTTGTCTGTGAAATATGTAAGTGCCATGGGTGATTCTCTAGCTGCAAACCCATTGGTCTGAATTTTTATGTCTTTTTTTGGGGGGGCGGGAAATCCTTCAAAGCATTACTTAGGAATGTATTTATAATATTTTAAAAATAAGGAACTTGGTCATAATTTTCATACAGAACTCTGCAAACAGCACTTTAAACAATTCTGCTTATGTTTCAGAGGCACAAAGGATCTTGGTAGTTGCTGGTATTCAGCTGTTCACCTCATAAAAAATGAATGATTATGAGTAAAGGGTATGAATTTATGAATTCAGCGTCTGGCGCCTTAGTAACCTCTAAACAATCAAAGTTCATTTGGTTATCAGGAAGATGGAAACTTGTATGTAGTCCCTTTATCCAGATGCAGGGGAGGGGCTGCGATGAAACTATCAAAGAGACTGTACAACCCTGGAAACAAACAAACACAAAAAAGTTTTGAGTCATGTCCCCATCTAGTTTCTGTATTTTCTCTACTCTTAAAAAATCAGGTGTGGGGTTTTTTTTTGTACGAGTCCAAACAGCAAAACAAAAAACCCAATAATACACAACTATGAAACTTCTGATTATCAGGATACGAAGCTTTGCATATAATGTTTTCAAAGTGCAAAATGATATCATGTATAGGTAGGGCTAGTTGCCCAATGTTTTTTTCCATTAAGTGGTTTTAAGACTTTCTTTTTCAATGATTGCTTATAGCTTTGTTGTTTTTTGCCTGAAACGTTCTTTATCAGGTGTCTTTTCAACTCTGTGATTGTTCCCCTCCCAGCCCTGCATACACACACCCAGAGCTTCAGCAAAATGGTTAAGCTATTAATGATACGGTGAAGGAAAATGTGTAGGATTTACAATGTTGAGAAAATCTGTCAGTGCCATGCGGGAGGGACACAATATAAAACAAGTCTATCTTTACCCATTCTTCCTAATGCAAGTAGATTTTCCTGTTAATTTTTCCCTTACCCAAAGAAGTATTTGTTCTTACATTGCCACCATAGTTGTGTTAGTTTGCCTGCTAAAACCTGAAAGTGCTACTGCTTTAGACTGCAGATGCTATCATCAGTGTCTGTCATGGTAAGGACTGGAGACTCTCTAGGATACAGCTGCAGATGGATATAAGATGCCAAGCTTCATCTCTTCCAGCCTTTGTTTGGTGTCAAAAAGAGTACTTAGACACAGCTTAGACTCTTAATTTAGTAAAGAATCTCAAAGTTTGTTGGTTTTCATACAGTGTCATTACTCAACAACAAAAAAACCTCAAACATATTCTAAGGTCAATGTAGTAAATATTCTCAAATTTACCTGGTATATCTAGCTTGAGAAAGAAAGTTCAGTAAAATTACCTATAACTGATTTGTCCCTAGCACTGGCCATTCAAAGACAACATGCAAAGCTAAGCAGTAACAGCTGTGTTTCCAAGATTGTGTCTTTCTAACTTTCTATTCAGAAATAATCACTAATTTTAGGTTCCTAGTTTGCAAATATTCAAAGTTAGATAAGAATATTTTTCCTTCTTTTTAAAAAGCCATAATGTGGATATCTTAATCTAAGCTAGTTGTTTAAATTCTCTGTAATCAAGAAGAGAAATTAGTACTTCTGGAGACCGACTCATTTCAGCTGATTGCTACAGAAGGATGTTTCTCTGGGTTCATTAGAAGGGAGGCTAGGTGAGTAGTCAGGTCAGGTGGTTACATGTGACCTTGCAGATATTTATTTACATGCTGAGGGAAATGATTCCTACTTTTTACATGAATATTTTTCTTACTAAGTGTATTGAGGAGATGAATAAGAGGAGTCTGTTGCAGAGTGCCTTAAAGTAAGACATACAATTATTCCAAGTACGTTTTACAAATTTCTGCAGATCATTAAAATAACAAATGTAGGAACTTTAAAACAGCCTTTCTATTTACCTATCAAGACCTGATTTCAAACTTTTGTCCTCTTACAATAGTTTATAACACTGGAATACCCACATGAATGCTGTTTCATAGCTTTACTTTGGCTCTTACAATGTCAGTTCTACAACTTCTATATGAGAAATGCAGCCTGGAAATGAATGTTTGATTGCTTTGGAGGTCCTTAGTTAGCTTTAAATGCAAACTGAAGTTCTACTTTGTTTATCTCCAAGATAAACAGATATTTTCTGAGCTCTGTGTAAGGAACCTTGCCTAAAATGTTTTAATTTCAGTTTATTCTGAGAACTTTCTAAAATTTTTGATTAAACTTGTGAATTTTTATATTTCCCGCAGCAGGGAGTTTGGGGAATGAGGGACAATTCTGTGGTTGCAAGAATTTAAGGGGAACTGAGAGAGCTGACAATGCTCTGGAAAAATGCAGAAAAGTAGAATATGCTGGTGAACAAAAATAAGCCCGGATAACTTTTCAACTCACATGCCTCTATCTCTCCTTGCACAAATCCAATCTGTTGTCTCTAGCTGTACCTATATCACTTCCATTAAAGCCAGTGGAAATTAGACGTATCTATAGAATCATAGAATAATTTAGGTTGGAAAAGACCTTCAAGATCGAGTCCAGCCGTTAACCTAACACTGCCAAGTCTGCCACTAAACCATGTCCCTAAGCGCCACAACTACGTCTTTTAAATATTTCCAGGGATGGTGACTCTACCACTTCCCTGGGCAGCCTGTTCCAAGGCCTGACCACTCTTTCAGTAAAGAAATTTTTCCTAATATCCAATCTAAACCTCCCCTGGTGCAGCTTGAGGCCATTTCCTCTCGTCCTATTGCTAGTTACTTGGCAGAAGAGACCAACACCCTCGCTACAACCTCCTTTCACATAGTTGTAGAGAGCGATAAGGTCTCCCTTGAGCCTCCTTTTCTCCAGACTAAATAACCCCAGTTCCCTCAGCTGCTCCTCATAAGACTTGTGCTCTAGACCCTTTCCCAGCTTCTTGCTCTTCTTTGGATGCTCTCCAGCACCTCAATGTCTTTCTTGTAGTGAGGGGCCCAAAACTGAACACAGTATTCAAGGTGCGGCCTTGAATCATCCCTATCAATTATAAACTGGTCATTGATCTTCCCAAACACATGAAGGTTGACAGTTTGGTCCCAAAACATTTGGCAACTAGTGTTCTTAGGTACTGATGTGTTTTCACTATAGTTGGCTGTCTCTCTTGGTCCTATGTTACTGTATTTTTGTTTATTATTTTTTTATTCTAGTACTAATTTAAAAATAACTTTTTATTTTTTTACTTTTAAGGAGCTCTACCATGTACCAAATGGCATGTCTCCAGGGAAACTCTCTCATGGGATGGTGTATGGCGTCGTGCACCGAACTGACAACAACCATAAAAGAGAAATGGTGGTTTATGGCTGGTCAGCTGATCAGCTGAAAGAGGAGATGAATTACATTAAAGAAGTGAGTTATGCTTTCAGCTTCAAAATTTGTCAAATATCCTTTCCATATAGTCACGTAGAGCTGTGAGTGTATATGGGATAACTGATGTCTAGCCCAACACCCGAATTTGAATTGGGAAATTACTTTGATGCTAAAGGCTTGCCTTATTAGTATTCAAGTTGGAAAAAAAAGCATGCTATATACCTGGGAACTGTGCGGTCCAGACTCAAGGCCTCTGTGCCAAGTGATACTTGCTAATGCTTGCTGACTGGGCTACAGCTGGGCAAACAAACTGCCAAACAGATCTTGGGGTTCCTGTCCTGAAGCCTTCGTAAATTCAAATGTGATACAGAAGCAGCTATGTAAGCAGACACTTGAAAGGATAAACTCCCTCCTCTCTTCCTCTGCTTCCTCTGTCCCCAAACCCCAAACTCTGTTTTGAAAAGGATCCTAAATTAGGTGACATAGTATAATCACTTGGGTATATTTTGGGGCAGGCTTGAAATAGTCAGCCTAATAAGAATGACTTTGTACTACTTTCTCTATGCATGCTCATTTATCGTAATTGGCAGAAGCTCTCCTGAAAGAAAAAAAATTTTTTCTGATGCTGCTGGTTTCTGTGCTTGAAACTCAGCATCTCTTTGCCTGTCAGTCCTTGGCTCTCAGGCTTTGGCAATAACCCCCTGATTAGCTCAGGGCAAATAATTTGACCTTCTCTTTCCAGCCACCTTCACCACCTAGGAAGCTATTGGTCAATGGTTATTATGTTATACTGATTCAGGTGCAAATTGAGATGATATAAAAGGGAGGAACACTGAGTTGAGCCAGCAGTGTAAGAGACTGTAATTATGTGTGCTCTTAACATCTGCTTGGTCTCTAGCTATCAGCACTTGTTTCTTTCCTTTATTACTCACAGTTTGTTACCTCCCAGCATTCACCACTCTCAAGTTCCTGCACTCGCGGTTAGGGTATGTCGCTACTGCAGCGCAGGCAAGGCACGCGAGCTGCCTCGGCTGCTGGTTTCCTGCCTGGGTAGTTTATCTACCCTGCTGGGGTGGTGTCCGGGGGTGGGTGAATTGGCATGAGGCAGGTGCAGCTCCCTGGGCAGCACTGTTTCTGGTACCTGGTGCACATTGCTTGGACCGGGACCATCTCCCTGCCCTTTTCTGTTCACAGCCAGCTTGTGGCATGGAGGGACATGTCAGACCAGGTCAACAGCATGTCTTGCATGTGTGTTCAGGGTACTGATCCTTTCAGGAAAAAGTGGGAAAGACATGGGAAGAGACGTACTGGCCCTTGCTTCCGTCTTCTGGAAGCTGTGTTCAGCTATGCCAATTTGTGAACTTTGGTCTGCCAGATAAGTTTTGTCTTTAAAAGTAGAGTCTAAAACAGGAATCCTCAGCTTCTGCCACGTATGTGCTGACTTAAATAGACCAAAAATGATGGGCCATGTCAGAACTGTTGACAGTTTCCTCTGTATCTGAGTCACATTTGCACCTTGCAAGAGGGTGTGTGTGCATATGTGCGGGTAGGGACAGGATGAGGGGTGCTTTCCTGAGGTGAAGAGCAGGAGTCAGCTTCCTTCCATGTTTCTCGTTCTAAAGGGAGCACATAGTTTGGGGTAGGCTTGTGCCTACTCCTTGCATAGATTTGGTGGCCAATGTCCCTCTTTCTGGGACGGAGTGGGTACCCTGCAGAGCTGCTAGAAACATCCCTTCTTGTATAAGGCCCTACTGGTGTTTCCCCCTTGCTCCTTCCCCAAGCCTATGCAGAGATGAAGTAAACTCACTGTCCTAGATTATCTGCAATCAGTCTGCATTTGATAGAAGTGAGGGGAAAAAAAAGAGTTTGAATTATGTAGCTGGAAGGTAGACTGTAGGCAAACATTTAACTAATGTTTACAATGTGTGCTCTTGAGAAGATTGGTTCTGTGCATGATTGCAATGGCATGTAAACCCAAGCTGGCTTCCAGCATGCTTTTTTTTTTCTTTTTTTTTTTTTTTGCCTTTTCTTTTCTTAGAAAGTCAAGGTATAATTTACATCCGTAGTTCTTAAATAAAATCAAATTGAGTACTCTATTTTTCAGATTTGAAATTACATTGGTAAATTTATGCTAATATATTGTTTAGCTAAATACGAGCCTAAAAGTCCAAAATTAAAGGATTTATCTTCAAAGGATACTCAGGGAAAACTAATTAACCACTTCAAAAAGTATGAAGGTGTATTAAATCCATGTGTAGGTGCTTTATTTTCAGAAAGAAAACATTATATGCTCAAATTAATTTTAACTCCTTTAGTAATCAGGTTAGAATTAGTTATGGATAATTTAATTGAAATTCATTATTTAAATTATTAATTTATAAGTATCTAAGTGTGTACAGAGAAGTTTAGAATTTAGAACTCAGAGACGTTTATTTGTACCCCTAGGTAGACAAGTCTTGAGGCTTAAGTTTTTGTTTTGTTCTTAAGAGTAAACTGCTGTTGATGAAAAGGTAGATTAATAATGGAAATTACTGAAAGTAACAATGAAGGACATAGGAAAAAAAAAAAACAATCATGTCCTAGTATAAACAGTAACATCAATGAGGTTGATAAAGGCATTTGATTTTTCTGACACTAGGTGAGAGCAACTCTGGAAAAAGTAAGAAAGAAAATGTATGGTGAATATGATGAAATGAAACGAAAAATACAGCAGCTTACGAATGAACTGAAAGTAAGTATACATTCTATTGTA